CAATGAACTCTGCTCCCAGTAAGCACAACTGGTAAACTCCTCTCCAAAGTAGCTGCAGTAACTTAGGTGTACTTCAGTTTCCTTGCTTAGCTTGGAGCAATCTTAGCAGACAGCTTCCTCTGTGACCCATGTTTACCAGATATTTCATTATTAAATAGACAGCTAATCAAGGCACCTTCGTTTTTATATTTGCCTCTGCACTCCATGTATGTATGTATGTAATATTTGCTAACTAATATGTGATAACTCGTTTTAACTTACCTAGGGTGCCTATTTATTTTTTTATAAATGTCCCCCTCCAGCTATAGATTTGTATAAGAGCCTAGACAATTTTTGTAACAGTAAAGATATTAACGAGTCTTGTAATTAATATATTTTTCAGTCTTTAGAATTATTTACTTGTAAAGTTCTACTTGTTCAAAATATCAAGATAAAAATTTAAAATCTTTGTTGTCTGTTCTTTTTGTGTTTCATGTTTTAAAAAGTTGGCTTTCCAAAACTACATTTTTAAAGTGACAGATAATGTGGCTGCTGATGGTTGAAAATTTTTGTGGAGATGGTAGTTTGGTTACCTTTTTGAACAGTAAAATTCATCTTCTGATGAAATATGATGATGAATTCATCTTCTGATGAAGTATTTGTTCATAAAGCTATTAAATATATTAAGCTTTTTAAACAGCTATGAAATGCATAAAGCCATTTTTATACCATAATCCCACAGACTTGGTGACAAGTGATTGATAGATACATGAGCTACTTTACTATCTTCACTAAGGATAAACAAAATTTACCTGGATCTCTGTACTTAGGAGCTCCATGTGCCTATGGAATAGCTGGAGCCCAATGCAGAACCAGCCTGCCACTTTGTTAGCTCTTAAGTTTTCTGAGATAACCAGATCTGACATTAAAGGTTTTGCTTGAAGGAGAAAACTAAATTAGTGGAAGATAGCTTGAAATTCAACTTTCTAAGCCTTTAAGTCTCACCTGTCTTCCTTATCAAAAAATAAATGGAGTAACATTGCAGTCTTTTCCTGATTGTTCACTGGGGATTTCACTTGTGATATCATGCCAGAAGGGGGGTAAAAAAAGGTAGTGAATGTAGTGAACTTGTCTCTTTAATGGCCTCATTCAAAAGCTGGAACCCCCATTCTGGTGTCTGTGCAAATGCAGTCACAGTTCAGGGCTCCTGTGCACTTGAGTCACGATCTTGTAACCACTCTTATCTACAGGTACCAGCAGTCATGATGATAAATGCCAGCAGGGCACAGCATCTCTGTTCTGACAGCACAGGGCGCTGACACACAAAACAAAGTGCTGCCAGCAGCAAAATTGTCTTTACACTCGAATTAAAATAAAAGGAAAGAGCATCAGTCTTTTTTTGCATCCCCAATCCTATTTAACTTCATCCTGGTCCATTTTCAGTTATTGTGTGGGAAGACACTGAACCACTCTGCACTTCCAAGTCTCTGCAATCCAGTTATTTTGTTATATGTACTGCTGGGAAAAAAAACCAACCACCAAGCATGGACTATACTTCTCGAAATTAGTATTCCCAAGGGAAAAATGCTAAGGAAAACGGAATCCCCTTCATCCATAGCTTGAAAACTGTCTTTCCCCAAATGTGCCCTGACAAAAAGTTCACTCCATGTGCTCAGCTTCTGTTTCTTTCTCCAATCACTCCAAGAGACTGCTCCCTGTAACACAAGTTAGTGTTCCCTCTAGTGAGACAAAGGAAATTGCTGTTGAAAGCTTTTGATTACTGGTCACTGTCTACTTACACCATCCATGAACAGTGAGGAGGAGGACTCTTTAAGTGTCATGTGCCAGTGACTCAAGGCTGCTCTTGCAAGCTCCTCCTTCACAGTTTCTAGCAAGGAAATGAGAACCTCATTTATCTTAATCAGTAAGTGAGGACAGGACACTGCTGCTGGGTTAAACACTGACATGTTTATATACGTATATATTTATATCTATAAATAGTGAGCCTGAGAGGGCTCAGTAACTGCTGAAGGTAAAGAATGAAAAAACAGAGAAAGGTATTATAGAAAACCAACCAGCATCAACCCTTCAGGATTAACTTTTCAGAAGCAGAACAGCTGGCCAAGCTTCATCTGTTGAGGGAACACGCCTGAGTTACAACTTCAGCGTACAGAAGAGCAGGGTTTTATTCTCAGCCACTCTGCAGGGTGTCCTTTCAGTGGATTTTATTCACACAGTGCATACTTCCATTTCTGCCCAACAAACCTTTAGGCACTAATCACAAAGCACGGTCAGTCTGTTGTACGTGACCTTTAAGGCACAGTTTAGGACACGCGAACAGGACACAGTAACAGTTGTGACACAGAGATCTATACGGTACAGTACAAAAATGTGCCTCCTCCAGCCAGACTCAAGTGGAGTTGTGTTCCCAGTTGCTTATCCCGCACAAATGGCCCTCCTCTTCCACCGCCTCTGTCCATAAGGTGCGAAATAGGTGAGAATTCCCTCGGTGGCAATGGCCCTACAGGGAACAGAAAAAGTCTGGTTATGTTCGTAGCGCTGCCCAGTCCTTCAGAAGATAGTGACATATAAGGAGCATCAATCACAGTCCTGAACAAAGAACGGATAATAAATCTCACAAACAAATAAATGAAGCTGGGGGTGGTTTGGAATCAGTTTCCATTTTCCTGAGAGGCATTTCTGCTCCCGAGGCCTTCTGAGGCGGGGCTGTGAGAATGCCAAGGCTGCTCCTAGAGTCCCGCTCCTGAAGTAAACCCTTTCCTCCACGGGGCACATCCCGTCGGGCCTTACCGACAGACCGACCGCCCCCGAACGCCGCTTCTCACCTGGGCCGCGCCCTCAGGGCAGCAGGTAGATAAACAGGAAAAGCGCCAGGTCGAAGAGGATGAAGAGCCACAGGTCCAGCCAGTAGGACTGTCCCGACAGGGATCGCGACATCACTCGCCCACCATCGTCCTGCTCCCGCTCCTGCCGTTCCGACTCCCGCGGCCGCCGCCGCGCCGCCGCCTCCATCTCCTCGCGGAAAGGGAACGCAGCGCGGCGGCCCCACCGCGCAGGCGCCAGCGGCTCTTCCGGGTGCGGCGCCAATGAGAGCGGAGCTCACGTACCACGGCCACGCCCCCGGGGTCACGCGCGGCGGCCCCGCCCTCAGCCCCGCTCCTCTCGCCTCACGAAAGCTCCGCCCCCCCCCCTCAGGAACGCCCCGCCATTCCCGCCTCAGGAGCGCCCCGCCATTCCCGCCTCTAGCACTGCCCTGCCATTCCCGCCTCTGGCACTGCCCCGCCATTCCCGCTTCTGGCACTGCCCCGCCATCCCCGCCTCAGGAACGCCCCGCCATTCCCGCCTCTAGCACTGCCCTGCCATCCCCGCCTCAGGAACGCCCCGCCATTCCCGCCTCTGGCACTGCCCTGCCATTCCCGCCTCTGGCACTGCCCCGCCATCCCCGCCTCAGGAACGCCCCGCCATTCCCGCCTCAGGCACCGTCCCGCTCCTCCGCCTTCAGGCATCGCCTCTCCCGCCTCAGCCAAAACCTCCCATTCTCGCCTCAGGAATGCCCCGCAATCCCCACCTCAGACACCGCCTCGCTCCTCCCGCCTCAGGAAAGCCCCGCAATCCCCGCCTCAGGAAAGCTCCGCAATCCACGCCTCAGGCTGTCCTACCTCAGCCAAAGCCCTCACCGTTCCCGCCTCAGCCAAAGCCCTCACCATTCCCGCCTCAGGCACCGCCTTGTCGGGTGGGCTCTTGAGGTAAAGCCATTGGACACGGAGAGTATTTCTGCTTGTCCCTCTGTTTGGGGAATAAGTGACGCTTGTTGTGGATTCCCCAGCGCTGGTGACTGACATTCCTTCCCGGGCGCTGCTGGCTGCTGCTCCCTGCCAGGTGAGATGCGGACACTGGGGAAGAGCAGGCGGTCAGTCCTGTTAGACCGTGTTGGTCTTGTCCTGCCACCTGTGCCGGGGCTTGTGTGGAAAAAAAACATTGGCGAATTCGTCCCGATGCGGTTCCTTGGAGAGCAGATGATGCTCTGAAGGAAAACTAGAAGACCTTTTGGGAATCCTGTTGTGAAGAAGTTCAGGAAAATTAAAATTGTTTTAAGATACACTCCTTTCTTTGAAGGTTAGTTGGAACTTGTGCACGGAACAAACGTGGAAAAGTTCATGTAGGTAGTGTATTCTTTTGTGCCTTATGTGCACAACACACAGTTGCAGGAGTAAATAAAAATAAATGAAGTGGCACAACCTGTTATCACACTCACAGCTGGGATGTGCCACCCTCAGTCCTTCCAGTGCAATCCATATTGAAACCAGGGCTATCATTTTCGTGTCCAGAAGAATGATCAAAAACCCAGGAGAGTGTGAAACAAAACCTTTCTCTTGCTAGCTATTACACCTTTTTAGCCTCTATGTTAGGAGCTATTAAGAGATTTTATTAAGAGATAAGGTAGATTGCAAGCAGGTGCTTCTGAACAGGGCTTACTTTTCTTAAACAAGCACTTAAGGGTAACAGCTTTCCTTTATAAGTTCTGTCAATAGAAATAAAGATGGATTTATCTTTATATAGCAAGTATTGTTTAAGAATGTATAGTAAATGAAGTATGTTAGAGATATGGGGCAAAACAATGATAGTATTTCCCTTTTAATCCTTGTCTGTATTATCTCGTTTATTTTTCGTTTTCCCATAATTTTGCACAATGTTAAATACACAGAGAAACTGTTTCTCAGTATAAATACCTTTGTAAGGAAACTAAATTTCCATTTAAAAGTTTGTGCAAAAAATATTGAAGTTCTGCTCATGCAAAATAGTTTCTGCAGCCTTTTGTATTGCGACACTTTGGTGGGACTTGGTACAAAAGCCACTTTAGCGTTTGGTAATTGGGAGTTTGCTCATTCAAGGCAAAGCAGTAACATAAAGAACCAGCGCATGTTTTCAGCAGGGCTAGGTAAATGCAGCTAGGGAGGTGTTGTGAGGGGATGCAAAGGGAAAGAAAACAACACAGAGGATGTGTAAAAATGGTCTTTTATTGTTCCTTCATTGTGGTGCAGTTCTGTGTGAAGTGCTTAGGCCCTTTTGAAGAATCTCTTGGACTCAACTCCTTCATATACGTAGGTCTGTTAAAAATTAGGAAAGAAAAATCAGTGGCTGGAACTGCAAAGTTTTATTTCCCAGATATGGTTTGGGTTTTAAATTCTTTATAGGCAACTGGGAATTTTAACTATACATGAATGAAGTTATTTAGCTTGAAGAAAATATTTTCAACTTTTAGAAAAGCTTTTAAATTTTTTTCTGTTGATTCTATTGCAAACTTGTATGTAAATTACTCTTAACTCACCTGAACGAGTTCATCACCCACGATTTCTCTGGTTGCTTTAAGTACTTTTCCATTGTCTTTTCTGGTAAATGCAGCCACAAGTTTATTTCCTTCCAGGGTCCAAGCACCCTATGAAGGGGGAAAAAACCCAAATGTTTTGCAACAGTTATAACACTGATTTGGTTTAAAGGGTGTAGAATGCTTGAAAGTGAAAAAATATTTAAACAGTGTAATAATGCTTTTTAGAAAGGCTGTAAAAATGAAATTTTAATAAAACCATTGGCTTATTTAAATGTGTACTAGCCAACCTAGGTATTTTTTATTGGTCAATATACCTTGTTTTAAATAATTGTATCAACAGAGATTTGTAGTTTCTTAAAAATACCCACTCTGCACTCTAGGTGGTGGACTTTAGTATTAGAAGAAGTAAAATTGCAAATCACCTGGATTTCATCTTGTGAAAATTGCTGCTTGCTCTGCTTTTTGGGCTCTCTGGAGCCCTGAGATCTGTGGTACAGTGTTGAACCTTTAACACTAAAGACTTCCTTGTGCTTTGGTATATGAGCTGCAAGCATTCCTGAACAGTCAGGTTCAGGAAAATGTAGTGTAATTCAGAAGGAGAATTTAAATTAAAAACTAGGAAGACAAATTATTCATCTTGAAATTGCACGTTATAAAGTAATTATCACATATTAAATATTGAACTATGTAGGAAGACTCTTACAGAAAGTTCAGTCCCATCAGCCAGGCTGTAATCAAAGTTGACTCCCAGAGTAAATTCAATCTCTATATTTCGGAAGTTGCTGACTTCTTTGACATTAAATTTGTCCCCATTTTGTTGGATGGTGATCTTCAGATTATCATGGGCTCCCAGCTTTCTTTTCATCATGCCAACACCTAAAAAAATCAGTTACCATAAATCAGGAAAAAAACCCCCAAACCTCTGGAGCATCAGATTTATCTATTTTAAATCAATTCTATGTGGCTAAGTGAGTTTATTCCAGCATTCTGACCCAAATATTTGTTCTTCAGCTTTCATCAAGGCCATGTTCTCTAGTACACATATAATACAAATCACTGTCTTAACTGGAGTAGTTAGATTTATGTCCATATAATTCACACTTTGTACAAACTTCAAGTAAATATCAGGATGTTAGAATTACTTGAATCAAGTAATTCTGATTTTCTCTGAAATTGAAGGATGACGATTTCCTCCCTGTTGAATTTTTAAACTGGTTTGATGTTGTCAAAATAATAGTCCAGCTATAAAATTCAGTTTAAAGTTTGTCCATTCAAGTTGTCTGAGCCTTTTCCTCAAATCTAGACTTAGATATTCTTTTTTCTGCTGAAATAAATTTGGAATTACTTCAAACGCTTAAGAGTAACTCAGTGTAATTAAAATAAGAACATTTCTCAGCATCTTCCCCCACCTCAGAATATTTTGAAAATAAATGCAGGGGCAGAGCAGCCAAGAGTGAAAGGACAGGATGGCCTGAAGGTAGTTCTTAGACAGTTTAGGTTTGTATTCATTTGGAGTGGCATTTTCCCTGCAGAAGGGATTGGAAAGGTGAGCCTTACCCAGTGCCTCCATGAACTTCTCATAGTTCTCATTTCTGTCAACTTTCCAAGTGCCGTCGAATGCCATGGCTGTGCCTGAAGGAGGGCTGCTCTGCAGGGACGAGTCTGCACAGGGAACTTATGGACTGCCTTATCTTGAGAGCAATATACTGGATGACGAGGCTGAGTAAAGCTCAACTGATACACTGACCTCTCCAAGGAGAAGTTTCCTGTAGTTTAATCAAATTCACAGTCCTGACCACACTGCTTGCTGAGTCTCTCTTATTGGCCCCAGATCATGACAGAATCTTTATTGCTTCTCCCATTAAGAATTGCTAATCCATTCATTCTATCCACAATGTGGGGTAAAGATCAGATGTCTAGTGAAACTAATAATTAAACTAACAGCACTGCTTGACATTTTCTATCTCAATTGCATCTTTAAGCTTGTGGGAGAGTCTTCAGGCAACAAGAGGGGATATTATAACAAAATAAACACAAGTCTCTACTTTGTCTGTTATATTTTTTTTGGGATCTGTTCTGCTCGGCATAACAAGCATGGGGCAGAGGATTTACTGAATGTCTGCAGGTTGTTGCATAAAACTCTCCTCTTGCCACCTGTCTAACACTGAGCTGTGAAAATTGGGGTGGTAGTCTCTATTCATGTGACCATTTTTAAAATATATGTAGTTTAAATTCTCAGCAGCATCTACAAATTTTCTTCATTACAACATATTCAGTGAAGAAACCAGCCAGATGGAAGGTGTTCAGGGTGATGAGGGAAGTACCTCACAATGTGCATTTCACAACAACATTTAGGTCTTTGTGTGTAGTTTTCACATGGAGGTTTTTTCCCACAATTTCACACAGGTTTTGACCACCTGAATAGCTCAAAAATGTTTTAGCTCATGCCCTGTGCTGTGCCAATAATGCATGCCCATCTGCCAACTCAGACAACGAGCAGACTTTATTCTAAGAGTCAGATTATCTGTTTTTACTGCACTGGTGTGTGTCTTGACCTTTGTCGTTATCACTGTCAGTCTTACATGATATGTGTAGTATATATACATAAACACCCAGTGCTGAGTTACAGTTCATCCAAGCTGTTACATAACAAAACTGATAACTCTCTTTACAGTCTTTGCAGAAAGGTTCCTTCTGGCAGTGGTTATAGTGCAGCTTCTGCTCTGTTTAGTAGAAAATCAAGGTATAAAACAATGTGAGTTGCTCAATATGACAAAATATTACTTTTGTTTTTCGCATGTACTAGAACCATACAATCTACACTTCATTTAGAGTTCTTTTGTCTTCCTATAGTAGCTCATTCTCCTTCTAACATCACAATTAGAATCAGTTTTGTAGATTTTCTTAGTTGAACTATTCCACCTTTTTCCTTCTTCTATCTCCCTCTTCCTTGTGTGGTTTTCAGAACTACAGCTTTTTCTTTGATGGTGCATTGAAAATTGTTTTCTAGTATTGCTTTTTTCATGACAGTTTTGAAAGCTAACGGTGTGTTCTTGGCTTTGTGTCTTTCTCCAACGTGTCAGCTTTCAGAACACTGAAAATTGACAAACTTACTTTGAAGTTTGATCTTTAGATAAAGTAGATGGCAATAAATTATTAACTTATATGGTTATGCCAACCTCATCCTGCCAATCTATGATATTGTAGCAAGGTGTATTGTGATGGCAATTTACAGTGAAGTTCCAAAGATCAGGGTGACAAAATGGCTTTTGCAGTGGATTGTATTCATCTCCCCTGTTTTTTATTTAGTGGCTTATATTCAAGTTGTTCTGACTAAAATTAGCTAGAACAGTAGAACTGTTGGGTTGTGCCAGCACAAACATAATATACTCATGAAAATATTGATTTCTATAAAAAGAGACTAATCCCTGATAAAACCATGCAGATTGTGTGTGCAGTATTTTTGAGTGTTTTCTACGGAATGATTCTTCATTATGTCTTGGGTTGCAAAGAGGGATTCCTTACTGGGAAGTTTCACTAAGCATTTGAACCACAATACTCAATTCTGTATCAATGTGGTAAATGGACAATTCTATGCCAGTAAAGCCAATTTAAGCCTAGCAGTGGGTGGCCTAGCAACCAGGAGGTTGATGGAGCCTAACTAATGCCATGTCTTGGAGAAATAATTTCAAAGTACATATTGCAGATGGGTGTTGCATTGCAGCAAGATTACATCCTGCTTGAGCTAGATGTTGTCCTGCTCCAGCTGCCTGTTTGCTGAATTTCTGCTTTTATTTTTGTTCAAGGAGAATCTCCTGGATACTGCTAATGTGAAATCTGTTCAGCAAGAGAATTCAGCATTTGAGGATTACCTAGAAATTTCCAGTGAGTATAGATCCATTTGTGTGATTAATTAGCAGTGGGCTGTGGGTTTTAAAGTTTGCTCCTAACTGTATACACTGCTTTCTAATTCCTGTGTAATGGCTCTGATCCATAAAGTGCTGCATTTTTGAGAGTTTTTTACTGGAGAGAACAGAAGTGCAGGAGTTAATAAGATCCAGGCTGAAAAAATCTAGAAGCAAAATTTAGGATTAAAACAGGAACAAACCTGGTATTTACTTTGTCAGTTTCTATATGCTTAAATGATTCCTAGGATTACATAGAATAATAAAATCTGGCCTTGTTTCAATGAAAAAAGGGCAACAGTGAACAATTGCCAATAAAAGTAAGTGTGCTTTTCCAGAAAAAGTTCTATGAATCTCCGAGTATTAGTGCCATTTGACACTTGCCACACAGAGACTGATATACCAGTTACCCTGTGGGGCTTTTTGTCAGGCTTTTCTAAGGGTATTTAAATTTATACCTGAATATTCCTGTATTCCCCAATTTCTTTTTGTTTAGAATATGAAATATGATTATAGAGTGGGGTCAAGTTGAAGTCCAGGGAACTAAGAATGTTCAGTATTGAAAGTCTGCATCAGTCATTTCAGTTTCTCCAAAATCTGAGCTACACTTTTGTGACTGAATGTGAGATTCCATAAGTCTGTCCCTAAAGCTTACTATCAGAACAAACTTACTTGTGAGGTTTTTCCTAAAAATCTTGATGGGCAAAGTTTCATGGGAATGTGAAATTGCAATAGCTGTCACCACTGCTACTAAAAATGTGGCTGGAGGAAAGATCTTTTGTCTTTTCCATTTGTTAATGAGGCATCAGATCTGTACAAGAAGAGAAAGACCTTGTGTGATATTTGTTCACCCTTTCAATAAAAATGCCGTCGCTCAAGGTCGTGTTGTTTTCAGGGCTGGGTAAGAGATGGATCCCAGTGCTCCTGCTGCAAGCACTGCCACTTCTCAGAAGGGAATTCATAACTCCAGCAGGCCAGAAAGGCTGAGCAGCAGCATGACTGGGCTGGTGAGGGGGTGGAAAGGTTGTAGTCCCAGCAGCAAATACTGACCTGATATTTGCAGATATGCACGGGCACTTGTGCAGTTGCACTCATAAACTGCAGTTGCTTCTAGCAAACAGTGCTTGTGTTTTATGCTGAACTAAATCTGGCCCTTCATAACTTCTTGAATGAGCCTGCTGTTTGTCAGGGGTGTACATACTTCTTGGTTTTGCCTAGAGCTAAAAAAAGTCAAGCCAGAAGTGTTGCTCTAAAGGGCCTAATAGGCAAAGAAGAGAAATTGCCAAAAAGCTCACTGGTCCAGAATTACTTCTAGGATCAGCAGTTTGCGCAAGATGAGGCTTTGGTTGTAAAAAAAAAAAAAATTTTCCACAGTTTTGGTTGAGGTCACTGGGCTGACTATTTCTATCTCTCTTGCAATTGATATCCCTCAGGCACTGATCTATGGGGGCAGAGTATGAGGATACATCTGTGTAACTCTTGTATGTGTTGGTTCTGCTTTCTGTCAGAAATAAACTGGTTTCTGACAGCTCTCAGGAGGTGCAGCTCCAGTGCTCTCTAGTGGTCAGAGGCACTGAATTATTTTTTGTGGTTTTGAAACAAGAACTACTTTACTGCTGGCTGATCTCAGTGTACTCAGAAGTATCTTGATATTAACAGATATTTTTCTCTTCAGGATTTCTAGGACCTAGAAAAGTTACTATGAAATATAAATTTACAGAAGTAATGATTTGAATCAGGCATTGAAAATTACACCTCAATAATATTAATTATAACAAACAGCAAAATTTGACATCATCATTTTTATTTTAAAAAGCATGAAAACAGTACAAAGGGAAGAATGAAGAAATAAGTGATAAGCAGCAGTCTGACCACAGAAAATAAGCTGACCCTTATGTTTTCTAGCAGCTGTATGGTAAGTAGGGCTATTGATTCTCTTAAGTAATGTAACTAGCTTTATTCTAAGAAGTCATAGGACAGAAGCAAGAGAGAGCACATGACATTCAGAAGACTTTAATACTGCTTAATGGCAAAACATAATATACAGAGAAACCCCTTAACCTAGTACAAAAATACTGTGCCCAGAAACTATATATTTGTTCAGGTATTTTTAAAAGATAGAAGAATATAAATGGACAAACTTAGTGACTGTGATTAAAGCTTTTTTTAAACTATAATAGGAATGTATGTTAAAACTATTTACAGTGCATTTCAAACTACATTCTTTAGGAGACACATGCAGTTGTCTGCCGTGTGAATACAAAGAGGACTCAAATTCTAACTTCAGTTACATCTGTAAGGTACCTTGGGCATTGGTGGGAATAGCTGAACCAGCAAAGAGCAGGTGAGACAGCTGTCTGTCACCAAGGATAAGGGTTTGGTCCCTCTTTACAGGTAAGAAAAGATGGATTTGACCCATTCTTTCTATACAGCACAACCCAGCTCACCTGAGGTAAATGGGAATCCAATATTGACTTCAGGTGGGCATATGAGCATGCGTGAGGACCTGGCATGCCAAGCTCGTGCTGTGGGAGTTAGTGGGAACCAGCAATTACAGAGCATTATCACATAAATACACATTTACAAACACTGGTACTCAGATATGAGTTTCTCTGTGGAAACAACCTTCCTTACATGGAGAAGAAACTTTCCCATGCGATTTCCATTCACCTCGCAATGACCAAGATGAAATATTCTGCTGTCACAATTTGCTGCATTTAGCAAGTGTCACTAATTACCAGGACAGAGTCTGTGATGTTTCTTCTTCCTGTCAAAGTCCAAACCAAAATAACTCAGCCTTCATTATTTACCATACTCTGGCCAAACTCATTCTGCTATTCAAGCTTATGTTTTAAATTAGTGCAAGCCCCTGAAAAAGTACAGCAGGGAACTGGAAAATAAAGATGAA